TGGCTGTTGTCCAGTCACTTCGATGCAACAAATATGCGAACATATCAGCTATTTCAAATAAAGGCAAAGTATGAAGGTTTTTTTGCCAAGTTTTTACGTTACATGGATCTACCAGAGTTAGCGTCGACTCACCGTGTTTTACGGTACGACGACGATTGTTTGACTCTTGGCGAACATTTAACTCGTTCGCTAACTCAACAAGTTCAAAAAGTTTAGCTTTACGAACATTAATATTGCTGCAAGTTATACCACGATTCCGAAGAAATTTGCGGAGTTCTGGAACTTTTTTGCTTTTCCAATCTATTGATTTACGTATGTAAGAATACAGAACTTCAATAAAAACAACCCCACTCAGGCTCGTCATCCGGGTATTTTGGATGCGCCCTCTTGCGGAATTCCGTAGAAAACTAACAACTCGAAAATTAGGAATTTGGGCGTGGTTTCGCAAAAGTAAGCGTGGTTTCTGAAATATGGGCGTGGTCATATTTGTGATTCGATGTTCGTAACCTGATGTCTGTAACTCGAACAATTCGGCATCTCACTGATTACTGCTGTTAGTGGTGTGGTTGAGGGTCCACAACCACAGATTCAGTGTTCAGTTTATGCATGGAGAATGCCAATCCCAGTATGAAGCATGTTGCGGCAAGTGTTGATCTTTAAGGAACAATACAATGGTAGTTGTGTATGTATTATCTAGTTAACGCGGGAGTGTCACCACCTACACATGCGTCAGGTGGCCATAGCGTGTCACTGTTTACAAACAAGCGTCTACCCATGAGCCTTTACGTTTTTAGCGAGTGTTGTTATCGTCGCTTGGGACTCAATTCCCGCGCATGCGCAGGTGACGACCTTCCCGCTTTAAAGCGCTACAGTAGTCATGCAGTGCTCGTCTGAATTTCATGCAAACAAACATATTTTATCTGCATTGCTTACGTCAATTGTTATGGGACGTACATATCGATCATGACTCGATGCGATAATTGTAGTGCAAGTCTTGAATAATGTCTACAATAAGTTCTCAAAATTTATTATCAATAAAAAAAGAAAAGAATTACAAAGCATTTTTTAAGCTTCTCATTTAATTGTTTTGTTTAAAAACCTCATTTCATTAATTAACATGAGCTTAATTTGTTAAAATAGTCGCTGTACATCTTATTTATTAGGAGCATATGCATAATTGATTTCTCTTCTCAATTGATGTAATTTCATATCAGGGTTGTACTTCTGTGAGACAGTCATCAACTGCAAAGATATAAACAAAATGATAAACAGGAAGGGATGGAATTGATTAAAAACTATTAGGGAATTCTGATTACTGGTAGTATTGTAAAATCTGTATTAGCATCCCTAATAGAAGTCATACCCACTCTTTTTGAACATTTGGAACCAAAAATTCATCATTTCTCATATGTTTAGATGCTCTAATAGAAGCCGCATCCCTCAGTTGCATTGTACCATTTTAATATAAGCCACGGCTTCCAACACAGATTTTAGAGTACTATTTGATTTTCTAGGGAACAATGTGTTAACATGGATTCCAATGAATATAGTTGCAAATTAACACACAGTTTTCCTCCAAAAAATATTTTGAATATGTAAAATCAAGTAAAAACTGCAAAACATATAAAAAAAAAAATAGAGAATGAATTTATTCATTGCAGTGGGGCCTACCAGATCTTAAAAGGCTTGTCTAATCACCTGCCTACAGAATTAACATTTTTTACCTTCTGTTTTTGTGTTGGGTCTACTACATCCCAAGGTGCAGATAACTTATTGTTCCATCTATTGACTCTACAGGGGAGAATATGAAATATATAATTTAATTAGTCTACAAAGTTGATACCGGTATATTAGAAAAATAATTCTTGATTTTGTAAGTTGAATTTATCATATTTTTCATTAAATTTGGTATGTACATCACACTAATATATTTCTTAAATCACCAAATCGTCTGCTCTACACAGCGTTATCTGATATAAAATGCTTACAAATTTGAGCTAAAATTGAGACAGTCTGTGATTTTCCACTGATATCACAAGAACCATATATTGGTTTTTGATGAAACTTTGTGCTTAGATGCCTCTGTTTTTTGGTAAAAATCTGTGCGATAATTACCTAATTGGCATAATGATTTGTCAATTTTCGCTTTTCACTG